CTCATCCCACTTTTATTAGCAAGTGTGGAGCACAGGAGAAGTTGTGGCATACTTTTCTTGGAACAGCGACCGCGGCAGACAGGGAAAAGTTACTGGAGAACGAGTCCTTCTTCATATCCATATGCCCACATTCTTTACGTTGTCCTCAGCAGGTGTTTTCTTGCCTTAGGAATGCTGCAGTTAAGAGCTTTCTCTGCACATCCAGGGAGCATGGCAGCCTTTGATGTACTTCTCTGTTCCTAAGGAAAGATCTACACCAGTCTCAAAACCATCAGATCCCAGTCATGTAGCCTGGTTCCTAGCATAGTAAGATATTATTTCATACTCCCTGTTTCCCAACAGGAACTAATACAATGTCTTATATATGCTAATGACTCCCAGGCCTGTGGGTTATTTTCCCACTGGTATGCTAGAAATCAGATTATCTTTATGGTACAAAGGGAGGTCTTCTGACATTTGAAGGAAATTTTTTGCTTTGCAGATAATCATAGCTCCTTACATTCAGTGGGATTCATTGTCAGTTAAATTGTACCTCTATTTTTGAGTTAGTTGGGCAGATAATAATAAAAGTCAGCCCTGGATCTTATCAGTGGCCTTCACAATAACCCTAAAGTGCAGTAAGAAAGTTAATGGTTGCTGAAGGGGAGGAAGGGCTGATGTCCATCAAGCTTCTCCACAGCTTTTTGAGTATATGAAGCAAGAAGCTCTCAGACCTTCTCAAGGGCTCCGTTTCCAGTACAAAAAGGTCTTAGGAACTGCTGGGTCCCAAAGGGACAGGTTGCATCAACTGAGCATGTCTGAATTGTCATATTATAATTTGACAAACAGCAGAAGTTCCACTTGCCAAAGTTGTGCTCCACCCTGCCAAGGGACCTAGCTGCACGTTCAGCATGAGAGATGTCCCTTTCAGCAAAGATGCTCTCTCCTGGTGCAAATGTTATATTCAATTTTGTGAAGCATCCCTGCCAGAAATCCTAATGAAACTCAGAACTCTGGCATGATGGGTCCCACAAAGCGTGGGTTTTCAGTGTTCCAAAAGCAAGACAAAGGACTCTGCATACAGAGGGAATTCGGAGTCATGGACACCCACAGGACAACATGAAGGAACTGAGGCATACATTGCATAAAGGGATGCCACAAAGAGGCCTTATTTATGTACTCTAAACTTTTCCATTGATAGAACTGTTGCAGCTCTGGCCCTTTTGGCTTTGGTTCATGCTCTCACAAATTATAAAGAGGCCTGTGGACTTCACTGTAGGCATAGTAATCATCTAAATTATTTCCCATATCACTTACTGGAGTGCTGTTATGTTAACTGGTGCTTAGCTCCACATGTAAACTTATTTGTAGCATCCCAATAAAACTGCATCAAACAGGTGCTTACAACGCCCTCCTGCATTTTGGCCTGAGAGCTGTGTGTATTTTCTGAAGCATGCATTAGCCCTTCAGCTGGCTCTTGCGAGTCCCCTGACCAGGATCCTAAGGCCAAGGCAGACCTGTTCTTGCCCCAGGGCTGAACTGTTGGGATGTTACCATCGACCATTACCTTCAGCCACACTCAGGGGACCGCACTCGGAGGCTATGCCACATCTGCCGCGTTGCCCTTACTCAGGGGAGAGAACCACAGAGGCCAGTGTGGCCATCGGGTCCAGGGCTCAGGAAGCTCCCGAGGAGGTGGTTAAACAGGGAACGGTGTAATATAAAGAGCTGTTAGCTAGCAGAAGGGGGTTTGTCACTATGTGCAGTGGAGGGAATGCTAAGAAATGACAGGAAATAGATATGTGGAGCAGAACCTTTCCAGAAGTAAGAGATTGTCCCTAAAAGGGGAAGTTGGAAGAGCCCCAGAGGATTCGGGTTGCAGCTGCAGCCCTCTGGTTGTGGCCATCGGGAAGCCTCTCCTGGGAGCCTGTGATGTCTCTGGAAGCTTGCTGCTCAGGTCAGCAGAGCTGGCTGGGTTGGCATCTGGGCCCCACTGCCTGCTACTAGGACCAGGACCACAGGAAGGGTTAGGGGTGGCCCTGTCTCTCCAGCCTGGCCGTCTTCCCAGCCTTTTAGCTTCCCCTGTACAGAGGCTGTTTTCATATCTAATTGCTGGTGAGCCAACCAAGCAGCCATCCGAGCCATCTCTAGTGCAAGAGCTGTCACCTTGTATCTGGGATTTCTACTAATGGCAGTGTTGAGAACTCCAATTCTGCACGCAGCATCTGGTGTTGTAAGAACCCATGTTGATGTGCACTCCCCAAGAGTATGAGTGTGTGTGTGTGTGTGTGTGTGTTTCTACAATTTAGGAAATAGATGCATAAACAAAATCTGATCAAGAAATAGCAGCACAACTGCCAATAGCTAAATCTTAGGGGTAGTATGTATGTCCACGAACATGTGAATAAAGAAAATGTGGTGTCTGTGCCCAATGGAGTACTACTCAGCTATAGGATGCATTTCAGGTTTTTGTGGGAAAATGGATCTTGAGGGCATTCTACTAAATCAGACACAAAAAGGTCAGTATCATGTGGGTTGCTGTTATATGAGAAATCCTAAGTACAAATAAAGAACAACAGAAAGCATAGGTGATAGGAAACAGGGCAGTGGACATTGCCGATGGAAAATAAGATTGAAGGGTGGAGAGAAAGCAGAGGCAGAGGAGAGGAAGGGGAAGTAAAAGGATGAGGATGGGATAGGCTTATGCACCAACACGGCACCATCTGTGTATTCATTTTGTATAACAAATGTTCTAATAAAAAATTTAAAAAGTAACCCCCAAAAAGAAATGTAGTGAATGTTTAAATTAAAAAAAAAAAATGTAACAAGACACATTGCCTGAATCCCTCTCAGAGTTCTCCCTCTCACTTCCAGCACACTCATCCCGCCATTGTTACCACTTCCTGCAGCAGCTCTGGGGTCCTCTTTCCTGAGTGTCTTTAGTTTCACTTACCTGGCTGCCTTAATGTCAACGTTTTGAATTGACTCAAAATAATTACCACAATTTCTGTCAAATGAAAACATTCCACTGTGTCCTCTTCTACCTTGTTTCCTGGATCTATCCTAATGAGACTTCTGGCTCTTCCCCCACATCAAAGTAACCATGAAAGGGAAGCATTTTCAATCGATTCTGGACATCAAGGCAGCCGGGACAGTGCTGTTGAGGACACTCAGGAGAGAGGACTCCAATGCTGCTGCAGGAAGTGACAAGGACAATGGGATCAGTGTGTTCCAGCAAGGGAAAGATTTGTAGGGGGCTTATGGCAATGCATCTTTTACTGTACATTTTGATCAACCCTGGTATATACCTTGCAGTTCTCTGGATTGTGAGCTACTTCCTGCTGCACCCTGGTATCGGTTTCCCCAGAAGCATGCTGAAGTTTCATCCTGGGTCAGAATACGGGAGGCAGAGGTCCCTGAGAAAAAAGCTAGCAGCCTTTCAAGTTATCTGTGCCCAGTTCTGTGAAGCAGGTGGCGGGGTCCCCTTGGGCACAGGGAGCAGTCTCCTTTCCCCAGAGAGAGATGCTGAGGGTGCTGAGTGAAGCACCAGAGGGCTCCAGATGGTGTGTCCCTTCTGAGTGCGGCTCAGTGTCACATCCCAGGTTGCAGAGCGCCCTTCCATCCCAATTATTGGCAACTTTTAGATGAAAAGAAATGGGTGAGACTGTGAATCCCACTGCCACTGTAATCAGCAACATCACAACTGAATTTTGTGGTTGAGCAGCAATATGGTATCTCAAGGGGACTCGGGTAAGGCTGGATGGATCACGCGCAGCTCTGTTATTGTGGCCTGCACTGAAGGAGTGGGGCTGAGCTTGTCTTTTCTTCCTTTTTAGTTTCTTCACTCTTCTTTTTGGGGTACTCCTCCAGTGCACTCAGGGCACTCCATGTGACACTGCAGTCCTTGCAGTTATTATTTCCACCATGATGGTCAAGTGCTGCAGCCACTTGGATTCTCCAAGGCACTTGAGACAGTTGACCCCGGGTGATGGTTTGGTGAAGTGCGACACCACCGTGTGCTGTGGGTTCTGCACCTTGCAGGTCCCACCGGCTGGGTGCTCAGCCCTGTGCTCCAGCTGCCGGGCGACCGCCACGCCCCAAGGCACATCTCACCTTCACCCCCTAAGGACACTCTGCTTCCATTGGGGTCTAGCAGCATTCCCACCAACAATCTCAACAAGGAGGCAAAATATATAATCATTAACTGCAGTAGTGAAAAGGCATGAACTGCTTATTGTGATCCAGAAAATGCTGAAGGGTACAGAAGCAGCAGATGTAGGAAGTAGGCCTATTATTAATTGTAGAGCTGCGGGGTGACTGTTCATGCCCCACACTTCAGGAAGACATGCCAGCCACGCCTGGAGGATTTGGCAGAGGAACTGAGGAGTGTGGAGCAATGGGGATGAGTCACGGGGCCAGGTTTCGAGTGGAATCAGATCTGTGTCTCTACACGAACATGGACAATGGGTGGAGTAGGAGCGCTTTGCAGACCTGCCAAGGAAGGGCCCTCTGAGGCTAAAGGGCATGGAGGAGCCATCATTAGTATACTTAGCCAGCCCTTCCAAAATGGTCTACAGAAAGAGAAAAACCAACTAGGAGCTACTAGTGCAGGTCTTTATTATGTCATTTTAGCGAGAGAACTGGTCTCAGGTGCGTTTCTGTGAAGAGTAAGGAGGGAAAAGATTTTATGGGATAGATGGAGAAGACCCGTCCAATGCGCCTTGTTCCCAGGAGAGGCACACGGACGCTCCCTGAAGGGATGGCCACGCCTCGATGGGGTAGTGAGAGACATAGCTGAGGCCCTGCTAGTGCAAGGTCTTAAGTATAGCATACTTTAGAGGCTCCACAGTTATTAAGTATATTTTTTAAAAATAATTCTACTTTGCTCCTTAGTTCATCAGGGCTGTGTCTACCAGAAACTATTTCTAGATCTGTTTCCCAGCCAGGACTAAAGTGAAGTTTACAATCTGCTTTGCAGTCTAATGCTTTGTGGATAATGTCATTCTTTTCTCTTTATATAGGCTGGGGCCAATGTCCTTCTCCAGGATGTGAATGGAAATATCCCACTGGATTATGCCGTGGAAGGGACTGAATCCAGCTCTATCCTGTTGACCTATCTGGATGAAAATGGTAGGCAGAAGCTTTGGGGAAAAATGTAGAAGACAAAAGTTGATAGGATTGTAAATATATATGAGTTTTTCTAGCTATGCTGAAATGATTACAGATGGATGTTGTTATAGAATAAAATAGCTTTCTCTTCCGTTTTTCAGTGCTTTTACTGCACAATTGGTTTCATCAATACAGCTTTTTACAAAAGATGCAACTAGGGACCATACTTATAAATGAAAGAAATCAGACCTGCATGTGTAAAAATCATATTGTCCCCCTAGTATAAGAACCTAAAAAAGTAAATAAGATCCAAAAGTACAGTAGATATTGTGAAAGGGAAAGAAACTGCTCAAAAGGAAAGAACAACTAGGATGGGGGAAAATAAAAAAGAAGAAAGGGGGAAATATATATTACATCGATCGATAGATAGATAGATAGATAATAGATATAGATAGATATAGATGATGTAGATATAGATAGATATATATGTATACACACAAAATTGCTAAGATAATTGTAATACTAATTTCTATTAGTTCATTGAAAGAACAGTTAGCACTTATATTGTTTGATCAATTTTGCATGCCTGCACCTGGTAATCTGAGCAACTACTTTGAAGATAACAATATATAATATAATAACCATTGTTAATTTCCTATCATCTTGTTTTGAAATTCTGTATCTGTTTTATTGGTTTTTTTTTTTTTTTGTCTCTCTTTTTTTGCCTCTTTAAAGTAAAAAAAGCCAAAAAAAAAAAAATTGTAGAAGCCAGCAGTATAAGAACATTTTAACAGGTATCTGAAGTCCATAATCAGTAGGACCGGGTTTGTAATTACGAGCTATTCTTTCCCAGGAGAGGAAGGGACAGGAACCAGCACAATTGAGTTTGAGCTAATGAGTGCAAGGCTGTCTCAGTGTATTCATTCTGGAGCTGTTGGTCCTGGTGAACATGCCAGAGAGGACTTGGGTCAAGAACATTTGGGCAGCATCTTAGAAGCCATGCTGTCACACTTAGAATCACAAACATTGCCATATGGTTCTGGCCTGAAAAGGTGAGGTGGAGCCCTGAGTGTGTACTGAGGAGGATGTCAATTATAGAGACTACCAGTAATTCTTGAGACCATTCAGTGATGGATGCTGGAAAGCAGGAGGGTAAAGAGTTAAAGAATCAGCTATGGTGAAAGACGCTGCTCTGAGCACAGGTGTGCACGGATCGCTATGATAGGGTGTCTCTAACTCTTTGGGAAGATACCTAGAAGGGGAATATCTAGGTTGAATGGGACTTCTAGTTTTACTTTTCTGAGGACTCTCTGTACTGATTTCCATAATTGGGGTACTAGTTTACATCACACCAACAGTGTAGGAGGGTTCCAGTTTCCCCACAGCTTTGCTTGCATTTATAATTATTTGATTTCTTGATAATGGTAATTCTTTCTGGAATAAAATGGAGTCTCAGTGTTGTTTTAAGTTGCATTTCTCTAATGGCCAGAGATGTTGAACATGTTTTCATATATTTGTTGATCACTTATACTTCTTCTGAGAAGTATCTCTTCATTTCATTTGCCCATTTTATGATTAGGTACTTCATTTGGTGAAATCTAATTTTTTGAGTTCTGTGTGTAGTCTGGATATTAGTCCTCTGTCTGAGGAGTTACCGGCAACATGTTTTCCCCATCCTGTAGGCTGTCTCCTCACTCTGTGGTTGTCTCCTTTGCTGTGCTTGGGCATTTTAATTCAAAAGGTAAAAGATTTATAGGATCTGAAGAGAAACCAGAGTATGGGGGGGGGGCTTTTTAATTCAATGTGCTCCCATTTGTTGATTTTTGCTGTTACTTCTTGTGCAATTAGAAGTCTGTTCAGAAAGAACTTGGCTATGCTGTGACTTCAAGAGTTTTACCTATTTTTTCTACCAGCAGATTAGTGTTTCTGTTTTAACCTTTATGTCATTGATTCATTCTGCATGGTTTCTCCAATATAAGAAGTCCAAAATATAAACAATATTAAAATAAAATAAAATAAAATAAAGCTAGGTCTTTGGCACATGCGCTGGAGGGAGGAAGGTGGGGGAGAAGAAGGGGAGGGGATGAAGAAAGAGTTGTTATGGTGGATCACCTCCACACACCAGTTCCACACGACGCAGGGATCCCAACAGACGGCAAACGTGTCTACTAATGGAAAAAGAAATCAGGAAATGTACAATAAGACTTTTTTCCCATGTAGGAAAAAGAAATACTCAAAGAACCAGGCCCTCCTGTTTCTGCTGTTGCAATGTAACTGTCAACAAGAAGGTCCAGCCCTTGAGGGTAACCCTAGAGAGAGGGTCCACACCGTCAGGTCATCCAGGGCCGACGACGCTCCCCTTCTTGCCTCTTGCACGGTGCCACGCTGTCACTGTGCCGTCACTGCCTGCCGCTTGTTGACTGCAGAGCTTTCTTCCAGGAAGGCGAGGGTGGTAACTAGTGCTGGACAGCCCCGTTCTAAACAGACAAAACAAAAAGCCCGAGTCTCGTTGCTTTAGAAAACAGGACAGGAATGGCTGTCTTGAGGCGGGACGGCATGAGCCTCTCTGTGCTGGAGGTGACGGAGGGCATGGGATCAAGGCGGAGGCGGGCAAGGGCACCGTCCACCCCACAGCCCTGAGTCCCGTTGCTCCTGCCGGGCAGCACTCCTGCTGTCTTCAAGTCCTCTTGGCTGAGCCGCGTTGAGACGATTCAATCCCGTTACTTCTAAAGAGAAGGAAGCTTGCACGAGGCAGATGTAGACAATTCCGAGTTTGCAGAAGAGCCTGGCCGTGTCCACGCCTCAGTGAGCAACACTGCTGCTGTCCACTGTTCCTCTTGTGGTGACGCACTGGGGATTGATGGCACCCAGGGCATTTGCACTCACCTGCGTCACCATCTTTTGCTTTTTGTTTGTGTTTTTGAGACAAGGTCTGGCTCTGTAGTTCAGGTTATCGTTAAGCTCACTATGCTGGCCTGAAACTCGAAGCAGTCTTCCTGCCTCAGCCTCCTGAGTGCCATGATTATTGGTGTACACCACACGCCTTGCCTCAGCCCTTCGTTTATTTTTCACTTTGAAACAATGCCAGGCTGACTTTGAACTTGTGGTCCTCCCACCTCAGCTTCCCACGGTCTTGGGAATATAGCCGTGTGCCACCACTCCTGGCTTATATGTCAATAATTTTGAGTATTAGGGGCTGGGGATTTAGCTCAGCGGCAAAAGCGCCTGCCTGGCAAGCGCAAGGTCATGAGTTCGGTTCTCGGTACCGGAGAAAAACCAAAAAAAAAATAATAATAATTTTGAGTATTCTTTTGTGCAGTGTTCGGGTAACCAAAATAATAATGATGGTGATGAATGCTGTTGTAGTATTATGGTGACGTGTGGGCTGTGCTGACGTTTTCAAAGTTGTGTACTTGCCTGGAAATTCGTTAACGTGTGCAGCATTTGTGTCATAAGATGGCTCAACAAAGCATAAAACAGCCTCCCCATGAATGGCACAGTTTTTAAAGAGGGAGAAAACATGTCTGTGTTTGTGCTTAGCGATGCCAGTTTTTGCGATCATTCCCTGCTTTTCTTACTCTGAATTGGTGAAAACCACAGTAATAAGAATCTTTTCAGAAAATGAAATGAAACGCCGCTCTTGGCAAACCAGTTATCATCACTTAGTAAGGCTTTCCGACTCACTTTGATAAGCAGTTCTGGTGTTTGCAGTATTAGTGAGACCTTTAACAAAGTGCGTTCCTGCGGGAGGCTGGGTTACAAACTTAGGAAGGAGAACAGCGAGGGGCGGATGCTGACCCGCACGTGCCGGGAGAATCTGTCACCGGCGCGGCTGCCACTGTCGGCTTGTAAGATACACATTTGCCGGAACAGCACGATTCCCTCTCGTGCCAGGGTTTAATTCTGTTTTCCACTTGTCACTGCTGCACGTCCTCCGTGTCCCGCCGTCCCTCACCTCTGTCACCAGCTGGCTCCTGTCGTCTGCCCCCGCTTGTCTCTCATCTGCCCAGCTCCGGTAAGCACTGTCTAATTCGATTCGCTCCCGGCCCTCTCCTCAGCGCACTTGGGCAGCAGTCAGCGGTGACGACAGGGGTCAGTGTCCTCAGCCGTCTCTAATACCCCGTGATGAGGTTTTCATTATCCGCCTCTGCCTCCCCGCGCCACCTCATTAGGATGGGGTGGTCACGGCGCGTGTCTGCTCTCCCTGCCCCGTGGAGTTCCTAATCAGATACTTATCTTGCTGTCACTTCGGGGTGCAGGTGGCAGGAGGGGGCCTCTGCGTCCTGAACGAGTTGATGACGTGGAAAATCGCTGGTCACAGTTCCGATTGTGCTGTCACCACCGGCATGCGCTGTAAGCCGGGGAAAGGCAATTAACCTCGGCTCCCTGCCTGGGCCTCCTCCGCTGCAGAACAAGACCTGGGCTGGGCTGATGAGAATGTGATGGGGGGGCGGTGCTGGGCCAGGCGTCCAGCCGGTGGGGGAGGAAAGCCGGCAAGCCCCCCAGGGAGGCGGGCACCAGGGGAGAGGGTGAGGTGGTCAGGGCAAACGATCCGGCGTTAAGTATGTGCTCGCGTGTCCCCAGAAAGTACACAGCTCCCGCTGGCCTCCCTCACCACTGTCCCTGCTCCTTCCCCTCAACCACCCTGCCAGAAACAACAGTCCCCTGCCCTGAAACTGCAATCAAAGGTCAGCTCTGCACCCTGCCCATCCCCTGGGGACATGCCTGCAGCAACTGCCCCGGCCTCTGCAGCTCTCTCTGCAAGGATCACACCTCTATTCTGATCGTCTCTTCTCTCTGTGACATCAGTGACCTTGGCCACACTCCTGGGGACGCTGTCTCCCCGGTGGTGATCTCTCAGTGGCTTCCTTCCTTCTCTGGGGCCAAGCGGGAACTTTCACATCCCTGCAAGTTCTGTGTTCCATATTTGGCCACCACAGCCAAGGATTCTGCCACGTGCACACCCCTGCCCTCCTCCCAGCCCCTCCTGTCTGTCTGACGGCTCTTACAGAGTGTGCATCCTTGGCACCCCTGCTGCAGGGTCCACTTCACTCATCACTGCTGCTGGTGCTGCCAGAGCTGAAACCCGGCTCCTTCCGCCTGAGGAGAGCAGCCCTCCCCAATCTGGTCATTACACCTCACTGCCAACCCTCCGCTGGTGTTCACAGGACTGCTACATGAATTAGTCCACGGGTATCCTATCTTCTGCTTCATGAAGCTTGTTTGGAATGCTGGTCCTGCACCAGGCTTCCCAGGGTCACCCAAAGTTAGGCGACAGCCTGCCCCCATCTGCATAGGATGGACTCAGGTATGCCAGCTGTCCAGGATGAGTGCAGGGAATGGGAAGAGGGCAGGAATGCCCTCCTGACTGCTGGAACCACTGCTCTGCCCGAGTCTGAGGCTTCCCTGAGTCTCAGGAAGTTGGCCATGGAGACCACAGCATGCGAAATGCAATTGTGTGAGTCAGGGAGTCCAGTGTTGAAATCACAGCATCAGCTGTGCACCCTGGTGAATTAGAATCACTCTCTGCCCTCCCTCCTTGCTCTTCCTTCTTTTCTTCCTTCCTTCACTGAGAATCGAACCCAAGACCTTCATGCTGAGCTGCCTCTCCAGCCTTTTTTTGCATTTCTTATTCTGAGGCAGGGTCTTGCCAGGTTGCCTGTGCTGAGCTTGAATGTGCTGTGCGATCCGGGGGTGGGTTAGGGATTACAGGCCGAGAGAGCAGCGCAGGAGAGATGGGCTGGGGCAGCTCTGGGAGGGAGATGCTGTGGTGTCCTCTGGCCGGGCCCCACGGTGGTGCAGGTTCTCAGAATGGAGCTGGTGTTACGTCAGCAGCATCCCAGAGCCCTGTATGAAGGGACAGTTGGAGTGACCTCAGAAAAATTCCACAGAAAGAACAGTGAAGGGAGACTGAGGTGGGTTTAAGGTTGACTGAGGCCCTGGTATAATTTCAGATTTGCCTACGTATTTTATTATCAAATGTAGTCAGTCAGTAGCAATAGTATCCTACGGAATACCTTGTGAGTTTCAGGTGAATTGTTTTGTTTCTTAGTTCCTAAATGAAAAGAAATAGCGGGTTCATCTCCAAATAATAAATATAAACAGGGCTTATGTTAATAACTTTTCAGAAAACAATATGGAAATAAAGCTAAATTTCTCTTGGAAAATGAGAATTGGCCCATCTGTTATGAAACAGATCTATGGTGCACCGTGACCATCTTGATTTCTTTCATTTAGGAGCAGTTCAAGAAATTAGCTTGACCATAAAGAGAGAGAATCTTTGTTGCATTCTTACCAAAATGAGATCTGTGTTTCTTTCCTTAATATATGGAAATCTGAAAAGCACCTCTTTTTTATGGTACAGGGGCTTAAGCTCAGAGTGTTCACCCTGAGTTATATCCCTAGACCCTCTTAAGTTTTTTACTTTAAGACAGAGCCTCACTAACCTGCCAAGTTATCTTGGCTGGGCTCAAGCTTGTGGTCTTCCTGCCTCAGCCTCCCAGAGTGCTGGGGATTACAGGCGTGCTGTACCATGCCTGGCTAAGAATTGCATCTTGATTTACATCACATTTGATTCAACAGTATTTTAAATTAATAGGATATAAATTCATAATGTTTCCCTCTGGTGTCTGTGTAACAGACACTAGAAATAAGTGTTTCTCACACTGTGTTGTACCATAAATGAACTTGCAATGAATGATGTTTTACCTCTGTATTTTAATTTGTGTCTTTCATCATTGAGCTGCTATGTTTCTGTCATTCAATTTTAATTACATGCTTAAATAATTTTTTGAAAGTTAAATACAACTTGTGTAAACACTGCAGTGTTAGGAAATTGTATAAAACAATGAAACCTTAGATTCTTCCACTGCTTTGGGTACAAAATTGAGTAATGACATCCAGGAAATAATATTTTCCAAAATCAAATCACATGTCAATTTCTATAATTCTAAGAATGAAAATACAGTGACAGGTTTAGTTGGCTCCTAACAGGACTCGGATGGCTTGTGATTCCGAAGTTGAGAGAGAATACGGGTTCTCAGTTCATTTTTCTAATGTGGATTAGCCTTGAACAGAACATGTGAGATTCCCACACGATTTAGAAATTTATTTTTGCTTTAGTTTTCTGTCCTTAGCCTCATTGCTGCTGAGAAAGGAACTCCTAAGTCAATGGTACACACTCCATGTGCCAGAAGCTGTTCATAGCCACATCTCGCCCTTCCACACTGTTTACTACAGCCACATGCTCTTTTGTGTGTTCTGTTTTAACTCATGACTTCGAATGTCTGTTGGTGAGATAGGGGAGCTATCCACCCTGCTGTGCAGAGGAAATCCTGGGAAGGTGGGCCTCCAGGTGTTCCCAACCCCCCAGGTTCAGAATGAACCATGGTGAGCAGGAGAGGACCCTAGGGGGAGGGCGACAGCAGAGAGGCTTGAGGTGGGTTCTTCCCTGGAGAGAGCTCTTAAAACTATGCACTGTGGTTTCTCCACTGCAGGGCCCATGTTTTTATCCAATTTGCTGTGAAACCAAAACCCATATAGGTGAAAGAACCTCTCCAACATCAGCCCGAAGGAGCAGATCCCAGCAGGCACATGCAGAGCATCACTCAGAATTGTGCTTGGGTCCACTGTGCTAGGTTTGCTGTCCAGGTCTGTAGCCAGGATCAGTGGGACATGAGAACGAAAGTGCTCGCTCAGAAGAGCAGCTGGCCCTCAGAGAAGACTGATGAGAGGGAGACTCCGTCACCACCACCATTGCCATCTTCACATCATCGAAGCCGTTATCTTCACTATCACTGCAATCCTCACATGACCATCATCCAGATCCCTATCCCATTAACATCACCACCACTCCCATCTCTGTCCCCATTACCCCGTCGTTATCATTGTAGTCACTACCACCATCATCTCTGTCCCTGGCACCACCATCATCCCCGCAGACATCACAGCCGTGATCCCCATCCTCGTCACATTGACATCGTCTCCGTCCTCATCAACCCCATCCCTAACACCGCCATTCTCATCAGCATCATCACTGACTTCGTCTCCATGCCCATCGACCCCATCACTGCCACTGTCATCATCTCCACCACCTCCATCATCCCCACATCCATGACAACCGCCACCACCATCCTCATTGGCATCTCCATGCACATCACCACCCTTATCATCATCCACATCATCTCCATGCCTATCAGCTCCATCCCTACCCCTGCCACCACTATCCTCATTGTCATCATTTTCATTTACCCTGGAAGAAAGTGAATTATTTCTCTTCAGTAGATATCTATTGCATCCAGGCACCAAAGCTAGTTGATATCTAAGTGAAGAGATAGCCACTATGGTGTCATGAATTTCATGTTAAATACCAGCTGAGGAGTGTGAGCAGGACCTGAGTTTTCCAGCACGCATGATGGACCTGAGTTAAGAAAGACTGGTTTGTGAGTGTTGGACTCAGTGTTCGTTATCTCCAGTAACATGAATAGTCCTGAAGGGGTTAGTTGGAGCATCCTTTTAAAAAGTTATTTAGAAATCATATTAGATATGGGAGAAAATCTCACAGGTAGTACAGAGGGTTCCTAAGTGTCATTCCTGGAGCTTCCTCTAATGCTAACTTCACATAGCTACAGTATATTTATCAAATCTAAGACATTAAGATGATACAGTGCTGGTATTAACTAACGTGCAGATGTTATTCAGATTTCTGTTATTCAGGTTTTTTTATTAAAGTCTTTTCTTTTTAATTCTAGGATATTACATTGCTTTTATGCATAACTATTTGGGCCAGAAAAATCTTAAAGAACAAAATCATATCTTGTTAACTTTTTAAAGTTCAGTTTAAGTGCTTTAAAATACCTTGGACAGTGTGTTTTGGTAGTTTATATTAAAACACATATTCCTGGACAGCTTGCCATGTATAAGGCATCCCATCCTGGCTCTGAAATATAGTGAGTGATTAATTTTTCTTCCAATAAAGACTATAATCTAGTTAGAAATGGAATACATCCAGAAGAAAAAATCAGCAGGCTTAGAATTCGAGTGCAGAGCGGAAGAGGGGCTTCAAAGCTGATCTTGGGTGAAGGACACCTGATAAGCAGCTCTCATCCCCAGCAGTGTCTCCGCTTTCGTTCTGAAAGTTTCTTTCTTCCCCAGGAGTGGACCTGGCCTCACTGCGCCAGCTGAAGCTTCAGCGACCCATGAGTATGTTAGCCGATGTCAAGCGCTTCCTGTCATCGGGAGGAAATGTTAACGAGAAGAACGAGCAAGGGGTCACTCTGGTGAGTTCATACTCTTGACTCAAGAATTTGCTCAAGGTGACTGTAAAATGTAGAGCTGAGTATAATTCATGGTTAAATAATATGGGATTTTTACTACAAAAAGCACTGCATGTGCATTATAGAAATTTTGGCAAACAAAACCTGCAGAAAAGAGAGTGCAAAATACTTATACCACCACCTAGAGAGGACCCATGCATACCTGCTCATATATTTCCTTCAAGCCTTTATTCTATGTGTGTTTTTCCTACATATTTAAAATGGCTTTTATTATTTTGTCAGTGTGAGTTTTGCAATGTAACTTACAGGAGAAGGCTTTCATTTTCATTTAGAGCAAAACAAACTGGGTTACTTTTGAAGTGGATCCAGTTCAATGCTAGCAAACTCTGGTCATGACATTTCTGTTACTCTCAGGACCGTTTGTACTAAATTCAAAGTAGGTCAATTCAATTTGGAATGATTTTAATATAATCGATGCCGACATTGCAGTCACATTTTGCCTTATTAACCAATAAACTTTAAGTTAATTACAGCAGGAAGAAGTGTATTAAGCCCCAGAGGGAAAAGCCCTGAGAGAAAGTAAAGTGGGATGCAGGAGTGGGTTTGGAGCTGTGCAGTGCGGGCTGTGTAGACCTTAGCAGAATGTGGGACTCAGTGTCTGCCGTGGAAAGAGCGTGGCATGAGGCTGAGCACAGCGGAGGGACTGAGCTGAAAGGATGGGGGTTTTGTCCGTAGAAAGTCTCCGCGACCTATTCTTAAATTTCTTAAATGGAGATTCACTACCTGGTGACCTCCAGATGGAATCCCTTCCTAAGTATTCATGTTTAAAAACTTAAATTTAAAGTGTAGTGTCTTATATGTAGCATAGTATTCTACAATTTTATAATTATATAAAATTTATAATTTTAAATTTATGAAATGTTTTAAAGTGATAGTCTTCTAAATTTAGCCTTCCATATTTCATGTTTATGAATTTATAAACTTTGGAAATCTGTAAGAGTGCAACGGTAAGTTATAAGAAAGAACCACAAGACATGTTTAGAGTGCACTGGAAAAACACCTGGTCAAGTGGCAAAATATTGTAACTAACTTACTAAAGAATCTTTATGGACCACATGTTGGGAGCCAAATGATGAACTAAACCATGAAGATCCTTTGTCACGGAGTCACATTTCAGTTAGGAAGATGGGTAATGTACATTATAAATGAGCAAGTCTATTATATTAATAATAATAAATGCAAAGGAAAACAAAGCAAAAGGAAGCGGGACATGTTGGCGGTTGAGATGGGTGAGCTCCAGCTGACCAGGACAGCACAGAGTCATGACCCAAAGACAGAGGACACTAATCCTGTGGCTGTGAGGAGTGGCTCCAACCAGGGGTGCCAGGTGCAAAGGTCCTGAGGCATGAGAGAGGGTAGATGGCCTGAGACCCATGTGGTTGGTGCCTAGGAGAGAAAGAAAGATAAGGAGTCAGGACCAGACTACACAGCCTCTTGTGGACCTCTGACCATTGCTCTGAGTGAGGTGGGAAGACTCACAGGGTTCTGAGACAGGACAGACCCTGCAGTTTTAAAAGGATCGCTCACACTGGCTGTTGTGTACAGGACGGACAGCGTCATAAGGGGCAGTGGGAAGCTGGGGGATCAGGGAGGTGGTTCTTTCAGCAGTTTAGTGTCAGCTTTCCCATTGCTGGACAGGTTATCAGTGCCTACAGCTTGGAGGAGGGGAGGCTTACTTTGGCTCATGTGTTTAGGGGCTCCAGTCCATGGTCAGCTAGCTCCAAGGCAGGGACATCATGAAGTCCTGGTGGAACAAAGCTGCTGGGGTCCTGGCGGCTGGGAAGCAGAGCAGGGGCACAGCACCAGAGAGCAAGGGGCCAGGACCCAGATACAGACCCACGTCGCAAATTCCTGACCCACACAGACACACCCAGACACGTGCTTGACTGATCTTCTCCCTGTCTCCCTAGCCAATCATGTTGGCAGTTAAGCTTCACCACTACATCTAGGGAGTCCTAATGGGGCCCAGACAATGGAGTCAGGGGTTAGAGAGGGAACAATAAAATTCAGGATATTTTATGGGAAGATTCAAGGGAGCCTCCTGATGGGTATGAGGTGGGAGATAATGAGAAGACTTCAAATGACTCCAGGTACTTTCAGTTTGACCTGTCAGTATGACAGAGTTGACATCGGAGGATGTAGAGAACCCTGACAAGAAAACAGGTAGAGAGCTTGGAAAATCGGAGCCATTTGGGAAAGGTCAAGTTTAATTGCCTCGCAGCCACTTCAAGGGTGCTGGTGAGCTTGTGGTTGGATATAGGAGTTTGGAAATCAGGGAAGATCTGGACTAGAGAAGAGTTTTGAAAACAGGCACACACACAATACTGGCATCCTTGAGCCTGGGAGAAATTACTAGTTTGACAAAGGAGGACTCTGGGAAAGCCAGAGGGATGAAGAAGAAGACACAAATTCAGAATGAGAGGAGGAGAAGCAGGCGCTAAGGCAGGAAGGACACCAAGGAAACGAGGTCCTAGAAACCCAGCATGTGACAAGCAAGAAGGGATTGAAGGCTTCCCAGATTGCTGGGAGAGCAAAAAAATCACAGGTGTGAACTGGATTTTGAGTTAGTAATTTGCAGGTGGTCGTTTTTTCTTGGAAGAGAGTTTCAGTGGATTGCTAGGATTAGGAGCAGATCGGTGTGAGCTAATTAATAACTCCACATATTGTACATAATAAATTAACGCCTGATGTGTGACAGAAGCACAATGGAGCCTTAGCCTCTGTGTACTAGAAAATACAGCAACTCTCTATTTTTTAAAATCTCAGGGCTAACTGCTGATAACTTACATGCATCGGTGTCTGCTGGTATACTTGTAGACTTCAGTGGAGAAGCTATTGTAAGAACCAACACAAAGCAACAAATTGCTGTCATTTTCAACGATCTTCAGTTTTTGACATTCCTTGTGAGCTTTATGTTTTCACTGAATGGAGAGCATAGAAGTTACAAATGACTGTTCCAGAATAACTAAATATTGTGGTAATCATCTTTGAGTCTTTAACAAAGCAGCAACAATGAGTGAAAGCTGGGAATAGTCTCTTGAAGATCACAGCATTTAACAAGTAGCGTCTGGGTCTGATTCTTACCTCTGAATTGTGTCTACTTATGTTAATGAGCATAATTGTAGCATTTTCCTTAATTTTAGGTACATGGCCAGGTCGTGCTTTCTGTCTATTTTTAGGAATAAAGATAAGGGAATACTTTTGTTTGCAGATTGATTTCCAGCTCCTCGGTTGGATTGTCAGTTGTGATTCAAAATTAGGTGTAATTTCTTGTACTGTTAAATTGTTATCTGTGCAAGATGAAACTACCAACAAAAGACTCAAGGGAATCTGCTTTTAGCAAAGTGGTTTTTATGTCATCTTTTCCTCCTTTATTAGAATATCCAACTAAATAACCAAATACAGATGTTTTTGAAAAGATCTTTTAGTTTACACTAATATTCATCTGAAATACAAATAAAAGCCTCAGAAAAGGAAATAACTTTTAAATGCCACCTGCCAGAGCATATGAAAGTAAATTCCTGAGTTTAAGTATGTAAACTCTCTTTGAAAAATCTCTGTACATTTATCCTACTGATTCTTTACTGTTGGATCATAGAATCTGATGTGTCACATCTGGCTGTTGACAGTCACTTTACTGAGCTTGTTGGGAAATAATGATCTAGAAAATGCAGTTCTTAAGCACTTTTAGTGGTGCCCCATTTTTTATTTCAATAGTGCCGGTTTATTCCTTACTTCTGAGTATACTTAGCCAGTATTATGAATTTTCTGGTCAGTTTTAGGGAATTATAACTTTTTGGTCACTGTCACAAAATAGTCTCAATTTAAAGAGTAGGATGTCTACTCTAATGAAATACTGGAAATGCCCAATATAGAAGGTACCTAATGGCTACTCCTCAAGAGAGTGATTTTCACTGACTCCTGTTAAGGTTTGTGTCTAGATGTCCCCTCAAAGCCTGACGCAGTCGTGGTTGGGGGACTTTTCAGAGGTGGCTCACTCTAGAGTTTGTGATTGATTCATGGACCAGTGCTGGGATTATGGGTGTGAGTGGTATATCCGCCCTATGGCGAGTAGCCTGCATACAATATAAGGGACAGAAAGACTCTCTACCCTTCTGTCCCTCTCTCCCTGTCTCTCTCTCTCATTGCTTTTGCTGTCTTCCACTACCATAAATGGATGCCCCTCTGCCATGTGCCACCCTGCCTTGGAACCAACTATGGACTAAAACTTCCACAAACTATGAGCTAAATAAACCTTTCCTCCTTTAAGTTTGGATGTCAGGTATGTTGTTTCAGCAGTGAGAGACAGTAACTAAAACAACTCCTAACAGTTTTCATGAAAATACATCTGTCTCAGCTGATGTGCCAGTTCACAATGCCAGGGCTCACACATCTTAAGTGAGAACAAATTCAGTGGGGAGTTGTTTTCAATTCTGTACCTAGAATTTTCTTTTTTTTTTTTTTTAATAAAACAGATGCATAATATACAAGAAATACTTAAAAACAATGTCTAGTTTCCAAGTTATACGTGCAGAAAACCCAAGTTAGGGTGAGAAAGGCCCTTCTAACATCAAGATCAATCTCAGAGGTGAAAACACAGGAGGAATGTTGATATCATTTACCATAGCAGAAATTAAAAGGAGTGTTTTACATCAATCAGGGAGCAAAAATAAGAGAGAGAATAAACTAGGAATGATATTTGCAAATAGATTTTCAAAGTTTTAATATCTTCCAGTTATGGCATGTTAATAAAATTTAATAAAAACAATGGCTACCTTTCAGTAGAAGATTAAATAATGAGAGACAAGTCACAAAAGAAAAAAAATACAACCATCCAATAAATGTATAAAAAGAGAACAATTATCAGGAGTTAAATGAATGCACATTTATTTGCAGGCATATTAAGAATAAGTAATAGTGAGGATCCAAAGAGCTAATGATTTCTGAGAACAAACTATCTTGTGCACTGCTGGATGGAATGTAAGTTGGTGTAAAACTTCTGGAGCTCAGTGGGAGCCATGCTTCAAGAACTTGAAAAAGTGTTACTTTAGAATTGGATTACATTTCTAGGAGGGCAGCAGAGGGAAGTAATCAGAGAAGTATGCTGTAGTTTATGTGTAGATGTCTCCCAAGGGCCTCACGGGTTTGTAGATGGGGCTTTGGCAGGTGATTGCATTATGGGCGCTGAGAGCTGACCTGGCATCAGGAGGTAGGTCTGGTCTGAAGAGGCAGTCACTGGGGGTGTGACCTGGAAGTGTTTATCTCTCCCCCCCCCAGCTCTTCCCTTCATGCTGTGCTTCCTGGCCTCCATGGGGTGAGCCTATTTTCCCCCACCATGCCACCATGCCTGGGAGTCAGCCAACTCTGGACTGAACTGAGAGCCAAAGTGAACTTCTCCTCCCTTACGTTGTGTTTTATCCCAGCGACAGGAAAGTGACTGAGACAAAGCATGTACAAGAACTACCAAAAAAAGAATTGTTTCTATTCTATCAAAACATGGAAAATACAGAAATTTCCAATAATTAAAACTGGGTTAATTATGATGCATGTGCATGGCCACGTGCTATGCTTTCCTGAGGCACAGGGCAAGAAGGAACGGCCCTTGGTGCGGAGGCCAGACAGACCCGTGCTCTCCCTGGGCCCTCTCTCCAGGCTGGGACTGTTGCTGGATTCCCAGAGTTTCGCTCTGGTCACCCTTGAACTCTTGTTACTTCTCTTCCTGTGGATAATAATAGTGCCGTGCTGCCGGTCACCAGCCCCAGGGGGACCATAGGTGTAAATCTCTCTGCTACTAACTAAGGACGGAATGCACAGGGCTCTGCATCAGAGTCAGCCTTCATGTGACCAGAAGAGTGGGAGATACTTCAGTTGAGTAAAATAAGTTTTAAATCAGTAAGTGCACAAAGGTCCTCATTTCATACAATGAGTGGGGAGTTAAGTGCATACTAATGAGAAGAACATGGAAAGCAATTATCAGGAAAGCACAAGTATCTGTATTTTTGGTCTTTGTATACCTCTTACATTTTGTAAACTCTGAAAAATAAATACATACTACTTTATGTGTAGAAGTTAGAAAAATATCCCTGGACTTCTGTTGTGTAGATGTATGACAGGACAGAAAGTTTGTCACTCCTGGACCCAGTCAGGGCTCATGGACTTCAGCAAGCACCTGAGCTATGTTTGGTTGAACTGAGTCCAGAGCAAAGGCTTCTCTGAGTGCCACCATTAACAGTATGACCTTTGCTGCTTCTTTTTTTGTGTAACTATTGTGCAGGAGTCATATTTTTTAAGTAGGTGTGTCTTTCGTGTATTTAGGGAAAGAAATTTAAAATTTGTAAATTTAGAAAAGGACCCATGGTCTGAAGTAATTTTCTCGTAATTAAAGCTGTCAGTATGTGGCAGAGTGCCATGAAATAGACATGGTGACAGGCTTTGTCCTGCTGCATTAAGAAAGTGCTCTCTTTGGCGTCATAAGGGCAGAGGTCCTAATGACCCAGCAGCCATCCTCAGTCAGGACCCCCGCCTGATCAGACCCTGCCTGAGTGGACTTCAGAGTCCCAGGTGTGGGGGATGAGTCCCCCGTGCTTCCATGTGGGAGGAGCACCAGGTCCCACGCTCATGCAGCAGGGCGCAGCAGGAGGTGAGAAGCCACATTCAGCAACCGAGCTGTGTGCCCTCTGGCTGTGAGCCCAGTGTAGAAGGAGCTATTGTGCAAGTGCTGCACATCCTCCACACAGAGATGTAGCCAAGAGGAGTGTGTGGGGGCAGGTTGTTTAGAAGAAAAGAAATATGTACATTAAAACAGCTGCTGGGGCGATACCACAAGAAAAGTGAGGAGGATTCCCATGGCAGTGTCACCTCTGTCCTGGTCACCTTTGTGCCCACCATGTGCTGTTTCAATCTGAGAACTGGGCAAAGCAGAAGATTGTGACCCCAAGCCCCTACTTGCTTGGGCTGCATGCCTAAATTCCTAAGCCACAATTTCTCCCTCTGCCAAATAGGGGTGGCAGCCATGCTCACACATGCTAAAGATGAGAAAAATGGTGTGTGACTTCACCTGTAATGTTTGTGAAGCCGCGGTCATGTCTTGACCTTTGCTGCAGCTGCATAGGTGATTTCCAGACTGAGGTAATTCTTCCGTAGGACTTGGCTTGCAGACACACACTGCAGAAAGAAAGCTCACACCTGGTATCTCCCTGGGCCTGCAATCAAGGGAACTTTCCAGGACACCACAGTGACCAACAGCTTCAATGTGGGCATCTGACGTCTTCCTGCAGTCCACACAAATAATACAAGTAGACTTCATTCCAGAAAACAGACTTTATTTTTTTTATTTCCTTAAACTAATTCAAGTACATTCTCAGTGGTGAGGAACTACTCTACAGAGTCCAGTGATTTGCTTACGATTCAGAATTGTCAGTAAAATGCAGGTCAAGGCTCCTAACTCCTAATATCCTATGATGACGATGTTTAGAAATTCTTTTATGACAGAGGGAGCCTGTTCCACGAAGGGTTTGCTGTTGTTGTTTTGAGATTTTCTTTCTTTTCTCAGTTTGTTCGTTCATTCGTTTTTGCAATATACAGTGAGTACATGCATCATGAGGGAACTGGTACCTGTGCACTTTGCATTTTGATCCTTTGTATTTCCTCCTTCCCATCCCTCCCTCAGCCCTCCCTCGCTCCCTCCTCACCTTTTCAAGAACCCGGAATGAAACTTGCCAGGCTGCAGGCACCACTGGCCGCCAGCGTTCAGGCGGCTTCTATAGTCAGGGAGCCAGGGCTGTTTCTCCTCTAGTCGTTGCTTTTCAGCTGAGCGTAAGGCTAGATTTCAGCATGTTTCCGAGGGGTCGGACCCAGCTGTGTTGTGTGTGAAGAACGCCTACGCCTTCATGGCTTGCCCTTGACATCATTGCTACCACTGCACACCTTACAGCTCCCAGACCCGTCTTGAATAAGTTATGCAAACTCTGCTTTGTACCAAAAGTGAAAGCCCTCTGAAATCCACATGTTACTGCATATAGCACAGCCTAACCTGCTCAACATTTGCTGGTCACTTGAGTTAAGTAGAACAAATTTAGAAGTAAGTAAACCCGTAGCTCTGTAGGAGTAAATGTGGATAAAATTGCATTTCTAAAATACTTGTGTATATATTATTCTTAGTACTGCCTGCTACAATATGAAGAGAATAAATTCTGAATATAACAAGGTACGGGAAGCTCTATGTGAAACTTGGTTAAGATGCCAAGCTATGTGTATGTCTTAAATTATGCAAACTACTTTTGGTTCTAATGAAATTATAACTACAGGAAATAATAAAATAAATCTACACTATGGACTGAAGAGTGTAAGCCCAAAGGTAGAAAAACAAATTTTCTGCTAAATTTCATTACTACATATATTTAATAAACATTTGTACTATACAGTAAAAAAGCTATAAAAGTTTCTGCTAGCAAACCTAGACATCATTGTTTTTACTACTTCTAAGGTAGATTTTTTTTCCTTTTATGATACTATGTTCAACACGTCTTTGAAATGAGTCACATACTTATTTAGTAATCTCATTTAATTTGGGTGTGATAATCCATTTGATAGTTTACTTAGAAAGAAACACTGTTGCTTTAGAAACGGAATTCCCCTACTTGAGAAATATGAAAAAAAAATTTCCAATTTCTGATCTCATTGTTAAAGATCCTGCAGACTCATTTCTAAACTTCAGATTCCACTCAAGAAATAAAACAGCACATTGGAAAGAAGGTAACTAGAGTCACCTTAACGCTTGCCGGGGTTAGCTGACCCTCTCTACCAGAGCTGTGCCTTCCGCGTAGATGGAAACACGGCTCAGTCACACTTGGGGATTACACTTGTTCTTGAGTTCTCTGGAATATTAAAGCTATTCAGTAACTCTCTGGACTATGAGCAGTAAAGCAATAAAATACTGAATTACTACATTTTGCATTTTAAAATATTCAGATCACAGTGGAGAGTGGGGGGTAGGAATTACAGGCTCTCAAAGTCACAGGGAAAGTAATAATTAATATCTTTTAATAATTCATAATATTTTTTAAAGAATGATGACAGATCAGAACACTACATGTATGTTCTTTTATTTTATATTAGCTCAGATCCAATATTTTATTAAATATCTGTCTTCCATCCATTGACTATATTACACTGACCCCACCATTCTTTTCAGAAGAGTTCAATAGCAGCATATCTTTTGGTTGCAGCTGCATATGGCGTGTGCCAGTGGCTACAAGGAGGTGGTGTCGCTTCTCCTGGAGCACGGTGGAGACCTCAATATCCCAGACGACCAGTACTGGACGCCTCTCCACTTGGCAGCCAAGTATGGCCAGGTAAAGGGATTTTCTAGATCTTTTCTACAAAATCATCTTCTAATCAGTGAACAATTTCATATTTAATTGTTATTGTACTCCAAATTACATGTCAATGATACTGTATGCTGAACTTTAATAGTGTCTCTTTCTGGTACAAATATTTTACTAGTTAAATAAAAATACTTTTACAAGGGTATGCAAAAATGTACATTCCTCACAACTTTGCATATTTTAGTCAGAATTATTGGAAAAATAATCAAAACGTAGAAACATTCTTTGCAAGGCAGTGCAAATACCCTTTCCTTAATGTAGCACTTATAGGCCAATTTCACAAGTCTATAATAGTTCTGTTTGTTTTCTACAGTAAATAGGTTAAAACAAAATATATTTTCTGTTCTTTTTTTTCTATAAATCACAATTCATTTTAATGACTGAAGGATAGGTAGCAGATTTCTCTGAATTGATCTTTGGCTAAAGCTGATAGATCTTGAGTTGCTATTTACAAGTCAGTTTCTCACTGAGCCCTCTTATATCCTGATGAAGAAACAGAATCCAACGCTTACACAATTTATATGGGACTACACTGGTTTCAAAATACGTTGTGGGTAACATATCCAGTAAATTTAGAGTGAATTCAGTGTCTTTGATACTAACCAGTGTGCAAAATCTTTGTCACAAAATTTGAATAGTGCAATTGCTGAAATATGTAGAAGCACTTGCATGTCAAGCATTATATATATATATTTTAAACTGTTACTTAGGAAGGTCTTTCAAACTGATAAGAACAGTTTTGCCCTGACAACAGCACCTGTAAGTCAATAATTCCATAAACACAGGCAACAGGCTATGGAACTGTGTCTCGCACATGACTTCGTTGGTGAGTGCCTGGATTGGTTCCGTGCTTGGGCTGCAGGCAGCTAAACCCAGGCCTCGGGCTGGGCTCCAGTACCCACACCTCAGTGGACACAGTGGGTTACAGACCAGGACATCAGAACACCATCCACACACCAGTCTCCTTCTCCAGCACAGTAGCAAACCAGGACACACTGGATGAGGAGCTTTGATAGCAATAAAAACTCCAGAGCTACGCTAATGGACAATGCAGTTTGGGAGAATCCAGCCTGTTGGCCTTTTCTGATGAAGTGGTAATCAGCAAAATGTTCCCTTACATTCAGGGATTGCTTCTGGAAAGAACTAAATCTAGAAGTATGGGACTGCTTGTTAGAATGCATCCGAAGGGATGGGGGTATAGCTAGGTGATAGACTACCTGGGTTCTGTCCTTACCACAAAGGGAGGAAGCGAGGGAGGGAGGGGAGGAGGGAGGAAGGAATTAAGGAATTACTATTTGAAGGAATTAAAACTTCTATTTTACCTAATTCCTTACTTTTTCTGTCTGGACATTTGAACTATAGATCAGACAGTAACATTTTACATAGTAACAAACAGTTTTATTTTAACCATTTTCATGAAACTAGATCAGGAAAGCTCTTTAGAGATACATCTTAGACTAAATATATTGCTGTTTGCATTAAAATGCTTTAATAATTTCACAAGAATCTGCTATACAAGCTTTGTTTCATCTGGTAGCAAGTCAGACTCTATAGTTCATATGAGTTGGTACATTTTGTTGGTTCTTTCAGTTCTGTGATCTCCATTTGGTTTGTATTATAACTTCTATTTCCTTAATAAATATTATTTATTCATTTCAAGAGAATTCGTGATTCCTTGTTGAGGGATTCTTACGATGGTTGTTGAAAGTCATCCTCTGCAGGTGTCAGTTCATCATCTTTTCTCATTTAGTCTGTGATTTCCTGCTCTTCATGGAACAGGTGGTTTTAGTTCCTTCTTGGACATTTGGGATTGCAGTCGGAAAGTCTTGGTCCTGTAGAAATCTGTTTCAGCAAGCAGTCACATGACTAGGTCCAGTGTGCTGGTCTTGGCTTCCTTTTGTGGACTGTGGTTCCGATGAGCAGTCTGCTTGCTTTGCCTGGTGCCCCTGGTCCCCCTGACTGCTGGAGGAAGGGGTTCTCTGGACTGGGCTGCCCCCATCTCTGGGTGTGGTAAGGGAATCTCTACAGGTCAAGAGACTTCCAAGCACGGGACAGGTTCATGAGGGAATGGTTCCGCTGGTCCCCAATCTCCCAGCCACCCTTGTAGGAAGGAGGCTCAGAGGAGAGAGCATCTACCTAGATGCTTATTGTTAGTGGAATCATTCTGCTGAACTTGATATACTTCACAGAAGAATCTACCTAGGCCACCATCTGTCCCTAGTCTAGGAGTTGGAAATCAGTGGGTCTGCATTTGTCTTCCCTGTGGATGGGGAAACTAGTTCCTTCCCATCAGTGGTTCCTACCATCCATGGTTCCTGCACCTGTTCACCATCCTCTTTCCACCATCTTAGTTAGCTCTCTTTTTATCAACAGTTTCATTCAGCTATAAGTAGCATATGAAGTTATACATATTTAAGGTGTACAACCTGATATGTCCATATATGTATAATTTATTAAATGATAACAACAATCTAATTAATATATCTATCGTCTAACTTTTCTTTTTTTCTGATTTGTGTGTGTGTGTGCCAGTGGTGAGAAAGTAAGATCTCTCTGCTTAGCAAATTCCAGGTGCACAATTCTGTGATGTTAATAATAGTCACCTCGCTCCAGAGCCTTGTTCTCCTGGGAACAGGATGAAGACCACAGCTCTATTTTCCTCCCCAATTCTGAACCATGTGTCCCACCACCCCGGGCGTTCTCTCTATCACCTGTCCTCAAACTCGGCTTGTGGAGAAGGGAAGCGATTGTCTTCTGTCCCCCACTCCAGTCTGCATCTAACTGATCCTTCTGTATCATTTATTCATACACGGTGAATCACCACCCACTTCCCTACCTCTTTCTGCCATTCCCGTGCACCACTGGGTCCATAGACTCGAGCTGCCTGGGAGATTTGAGCTGCTTGAGGAGAAGTCACTGTCGATTGCCCTGTGTATCCCTAGGTCCACCCGGCCCACCCTGGCAGCCCCTTCCAGGCTGCACGGTCCTCCCCCACCTCCCCCGGTCTGTCTCAGCACAGTGGCCACAGTCATCCCCACACACACACACACACACACACACACACACACACACACACACACACGATCACACCGTGTCAACTGGTGCGGTTTCCTTTCCAGGCTGTGAGGTTCAATAGCGCTCCATAGTGCACTTGACAAGTCCCCAGGTGGCAGGCCCTGGCTTAATTCTCCCTCAGTATTTCTTTCCTCACCCCACTGTTTGAGGCGGTAGCTGTACTGAATTCCTTCCATCCCTGGAATAAGTGTCCCCCACCCCAAGTTTCCTATTTTGTCTTTGTTTTTCCTGAAATCGTTGAGTATTTCTTACCTTGCAGGTCTACACTCAAAGTCTCTTCTCCGCTAGATTTTTCTAACTCTTGTTGTGCGCCTCCTGTGTGCCAGCCTTCCAGAGCAGCTGTGTGGTCACTGTTCAGGCCCCCACCACGTTCAGCCGAGAACGGAGAGCAGGTGCAATGTCTGTCTGTTTCATTCTTATCTCCCAGTGTCGCCGTGCCTGCCACACGACACACTCGGTTACTACTGAGAGAAGCAGTGGGGCCCCCGTCAGCAGCTGCTCACCTTCACCAGTGACCACTGAACAAGGGACTGAGTGGAGATGTGGGGTAGATTATTCAAGGAGTCGTGCACACTGGGAAAGCATTTCAGCCTGGGTTGAGAGGAACCTCATATTTAATAGTTGCTATGGTCCAGATGGACCCCTTGCAATTGATGTGCAGGAAACTCCATGGCCCCTGCAACAGCATAAGGTGGGGCCTGGCAGGAGGTGTTCTGGTCATGGGGGCTCCTCCTACAGGTTTGGGCAGAAGCCACTTTACTCTTCTGCTCTGTGAGTGCCTGGTGGAGCAGTTCCTCCAGGCCAAAGGCACATGCTCAGCACCGTCTCGGAAGCATCGCCTGAGCCCTGAACTGTGTTGGTGCCTTGACCCTGTGCTTCCCGAGCTCCAGAAGTGGGGGAAAGAACTTCCTGTTCACAGGAAATTACCCCGTCTCTATGTTCTGTTACTGCCACACAAAACAAACTAAGGCAGGTTCATAAAAGAAAAGTTCCCTCAGGCAGGCGTGGTCAGAAGCCGGGATGGGACGTACGGGGAGGAGCAGAAGAGGAGTGTCTCTGGAAAGAAACACAGGGCCCCTGCCTAAAACACCAGCATGTGCTCTGTGCAAAGGCGCACTATCAGGAGTGTAGTGTGAATCACAGTTCAGTCGTAAATAAGTATGAATAATGTTTTAGAAGGTTTTACAAAAAAAAAAAAAAAAGAAGGTTTTACACCTTAGATCTGACAGTCTCTTACGGTCTTCAGAGCTGGAGACATTCACTTATTCCTACGTAGGCTGTGTGTGCTGAGCGAGGCACACGGAGGGCACGTGGGACCGAAGCAGCCTCACTTCCTCTCATGCAATAAACCTAAAAATCCCCCTTAGCACTGGAGCCAGGGATGAATGTTAGTTCTGCTCACTGCTACTTTTAAAATTCTTAAAGAGATATTGGAAGTGTTTATCAAAGAATTAACTTTCTAAATTTAATTGAACTGAAATAGAAGTATCCAAAAAAATGAGTAAAGTCTGTGGCCAGGAATTTAAATTTCAGCCACTTAATGCTCCCTTTTTACTCTCACGCATGCATATGCACACACACATGTACCTATACACACATCTACACACACACACACAGACGCACACACATAGGATGGTGCATTCACACTGTCAGTATTGCGTCCCGCCTTCTGACTGCCAAGCTGCTGAAGTCGCCTCGGTGGTGGAGATGATTTTCCTACCTGTGGTCTTTGGGGAGGTGAACACGGATGTTCCAGGGTGGATGCACAGAAATTAGCCCAGCAGCCTCCTGCTGTTCTGTTTCTCTGACTTCTAACTGGAAGCTCCTGGGAAGTACTGACTTTACGCTCAGAAAGGAATTCCCCCAGTAGGAGACCTTCTTTCCACACGAGTGTTTATTTTTATACGCCTGAAATAAAACAGAATTACTTTTATTGTTGGAGATTTCCATGTAGAAAACATTTTGCTTTTATTATTTAAATTATTTCTGCTTTTAAGATTTGGAGAGAGAAGTAGGGTGTTGGCAGACTCCCCAGGTTGGATTTAGAAGTGCAACATAATTTTTAAATGTTCATATTTTGAAAAGGTAAAATCTTTTAAGTTTACTGCATTGTATTTAAATTGTGAAAACAAGGTCAGTCTTACCCAGTTGTTGGCTTTCCTTGTCTTTTTCCTTCATTTCTCCCTCCTTTCCTTGCTCTGTTCCTCCCTCCCTCCCTCCCTCCCTCCCTCCCTTCTCCATGGCTTAAACACACAACTCTTTAACATCTTTAATATAAAACAAATTTCTGTCTTGAACCTATCTTAATATTCTGAGAATATGCTACATAATTTTTTGTCTTTCAGGCTTCAAAAGAACCATTCTTTCTTTAGTACCAGTAAACTATATATTTGAAAAACAAAATAAACTTCTAACTATAAGATTCTGCTGTATGAACATTAAACTATTACTGAAATAATTTGTGTTCTGCAAAACCAAACACTAATTTTGAGCGAATCTGAGGGACATTTGCCAATAGGGCACAAAAGTGAAACCTAGTAAGTTTTATAGTGAGAATACCGACAAAATCAATAATTGATACTTAAGGCCAGGGGATATAGCTCAGTAGCCCAGCACATGCCTGGCAAGTACAAAGTTGTGAGTTCAATTCCTGGTACCAACAGTAATTGATACTTGAGGGTCCCTGAACAGGATGTCCAGAAGGGGTAGAGAATCCCACAGAAAATATTACAAAAGGATAAAGAAAATTTGAAGAACCCAGTCCCACTTGAATCAATAAAGCAACAAATTAAAATGAAATACAAAAAGGAAAAAAAGAATAAAAATTCCAAAAGAATCTCCAAGTAATTTAAAAATTTAAACTTAGTGAATTTATGAAGGTTGCTCACAGTAACAATACAAGCACAAAATATTACGTGATACATGTAACAAATAACATGCAAGATTTCTATACTGAAAACTGCATACATTTGCAGTGACTGCTGAGAGTGGATCCGTGAGGCTCACTCACGGGCTGAGACAGCACCTTAGATGTCACTAAGGGACCTGGGGACAGCACCATTATCCCAGACATGACCTTGCCTTTCAAAGCTGAAGAACTTTTGGGCTTGAGTAAGGTGAAGACCTTGATTTGAGAAGATTTTCTTGGCTTGTCCGCCTGGGACATGTAATCCCATGGGTCCTCTCAAAAGCAGAAGCCCATACTTGGCTGAGAGTCAGAGGGGAATGTGACTTTGAAAAGTGACCCGAGGGGCGCACCGTTGCTGCTGTAAAGATAAAGAGAGAGGCAGTGAGCCAGCTGTGGGCCAACTCTGCCAGCCAGAACCAAGGTCGCCCCATGCCAGAAGGGAACCTGGTGCCAGCACTATCCTGACTTAGCTCAGGGGAATCTGTGTCAGACTTGTGACCTACAGAATTGTAAGGTAGCACATTCTGACGGTTTACACTACTGCCTTTCTGGAAGTTAATTTAGGCAGGCATTCAAAGCTACTATAGTTCGTATCTATTTGAAATAATTCCAACAAAACACCAACAGCTTTTCCTATAGAAATTGAAAAGTTAATTTTAAAACTTATGTGGAGACACAGAGTACCTGTAATAGAAAAAATTATCTTGAAAAAATTAAAATGTAAAGATATATTTAATGTAAATATAATTATAAAAATGTAATATAATCTTTTTCAAGATTTACCATTTTTCACTTATAAGATGCCAAGACTTACTTAAAGCTGCACTGGTCAAGGTAGTTAGGAAATTCAGTAATGACAGAACATTAGATCAACAGAATTTAAGTCAGGAATCAAATGGGCAGAGTATCTCAGCCCATTTGCTATGAAGGCCACAAAGCCATTCAATAAAACAAAGAGCCTTTTCAGCAACGTTGTCCAGAAACAGGGGGACCCACCGAGCTTTACATGGCATTTGCAAAAAGCCTTGTGAGATGGACTACGAATGGAAAAATTAAAATAATAAATTTTAGAAGAAAATAAAACATTTTCATGATCTTTGAGTAGGTAAAGAGTTATTTGGACATAAAAGACATAACCACAAAAGACATTTTAAGATGAATAGGCAGGTCATAGAATGTAAGGAAATGTACATAAGTTACAACTGAAAAATGTACCCAGAACATGTAATGACTACATACAGAACCAATAATAAAAAGATTTTAAAGTCCACTAATAAATGGAAGAAAAATCTTCATAAGCCACTTCATAAAAAAAATATAGAAGTGGTCATTAAGCACATGAGAAAGTGCTCAGTGCTATTAGGAGGGAAATGTAAATTAACTTGTACTGAAATACTTTTTCACATCTGGTATTCGTAGCTAAAATAGTTCTAAAATGACAATATCAAATGTTGGAGAGGATGTGACACAAAACAGCTGGTGAGGATGTAAAATGTTAAAGCTCTTTTGTAAAACTGCCTGGCGGTTTCTTCAGAAGATGAGGTATATACTTACCCCATCACCTGGGATTCTACTCCTCGTGTTTCCTAAAGGGAGATGAAAACCTGTGCCCACCAGAATGACGAAAGTCCCTCACAGCCTTGTTCCAAGGAGGAAAGAGCCGTAGCGCAGGTCTCAGGGGGAAAATGGACACACACATCGTAGCAAGTTAATGCAGCGGGGCCATAAAAGGAAGAAAGTACAAATACGTGCGAAAAATGGGTGGATGTCAAGAGTATTGTGTGGGGCCCACCTAGGTCTCCATCTGTCCACCCGCTTATCTATCTTGCTGTCTTCTAAGAAATGTATATGAAGTTTAAGAATAGGCAGACTAGTCCGAGGTGTCCTAACCGCAGTGTGGGGATGAATGGTAGTCGGTAGGAACAGCTGTTTTGGATTTTAATTATGGTGCTGTTTACCCATTCGATCAAACTTTTATAGCTGTGCACTTAATAGCTGTGCATTTTGTTGCATTTAAATCATTTCAAAAGGAATTAAGATGTGTTATGTACATGTACCAACTCCCCACAAGAAATGTAAACATGTACTGCAGACATATACTAATAAATACAAAATAAAAAATCACAATAAAAGGAGTGTTAGAAAAAACGTACTTGAGAGGTTTCTAATTTCCAGACTAAGAACTGAGTTGATGTCTTCTGATTTTGTGGTTTCATTTCTATTATTTTGGTTTCCCCGTCTCCAAAAAAATGCCACCTAGTAGTATTTACCAAGTGAGAATGAGGTATCTTGTGTTGCAGAAGTATGCATTACCTAAGAACCTACTTTAAAAATAAAAAATGGAATTATAATGACAATTTAAAAATATTTGAAACAAAATCACAATGAAAATGATACATTATGTATATCTCCATATGAGATACAAAAAGTGGTGTTTTAATGGAAATGTATAGCCTTTAGCATTGAAAAGCAAGTAAGTGTTTATTATGAGTGTTTCAAAATGAAAGCGCTAAATGATCAATGTGAAGTATGCACAAGAGATTAGTAAAATAAGCACAGAGTTGTAGAAGATTGAAAGTCATTGGAGCAAAAAGTACTGGACTACAGCACAAAATTCAACAAAAAGGGTCAAGTGTCCCCAAATTTGTTTGTTTTGATCGAGAGGAGCCAAGTTCTGTGACTGTTTGTCCTGGGAGGGAGAGACAAGGAAATAGAATGCAAAAATAGCTGATGACATGCACATAAAGCAGAACCTAACTACATACATAGTGCCACTGTGGAAAATACGGCGAGAGAAAAATTGGCGAGGAGCTCACCGTCTTAGTGCGTCTCTCCTCTGTGGCAGAGGCCTGGCACTGGCTGAGCAGGCCAAGGTCAAAGTGCTGGCAGCGTCATGTCAGTGTTTGATGAGGGCCCCGTCTCTCCTTCCAAGAGGCCAGAGGGAGTGCTCGGCAGTCCACAGGCGCTAAGTGCCATGGCCTCGCAGAGGAAGGGATGGGAAGGTGTCATGGACAGAGGGGCCACTGAGTCCCTGCAGCCCATTTCTGAGCAGAGGCGATCGCTATGGCCCGAGCACTTCTGCCTCTCCACAACTCATCACCAGAACTTCATTTCTATAAGTGTTGCGAGCGGATTGGCCACTGTGAGGGTTAGGTATACTTCCGTACGCATTTGCTAAGCATAGAAAGAAAGATAAAAATGTCCCCAAATTCCTAGTAGTAGTCAACTCTGGGAAATTGAGAGAAAAGCAAGTCTGGGGATAAATGGACAAACATACTTTTAATGCCATGTATTTAAAAGTTGAGTACATTGAAGTTTAATTATTGCTCTTTCACTGTTATATATACATCATATATATACACTTTGCATGTCCCACGTATTTGAAGTTTATTAACTCTCATCAAGGTATTAATAAAGATTATAATATAAGATCATTATACTATAAGATCGCATTATAATATAATATATATTATAATATAATATTTATAGTATTATATCATTATTATAATATAAGGTTGCATTTTTCTAATTTTGGAACGTGACTTTGTAATGCTGTCTCCATGTCTAAATGCTGTCTTAGAGAGAGTACCAAAAATTACACTTTTTCCAATTAAAAATGTGGCACTGTATGTCATAATTAATTCCTCCCATAAAATAACCTAAGAGCAACCTGGAAAGGTAAAAAGTATCTCCTTCAAATCCTCAGTAACCCAGCACTCATTTCAGAGTAACTTTTTTTCCGAATGCACATGTTACTGAGAGCTTTCCTAGGAGGGGCACAATAGGAAGTGCTTCAGGAGTGCCCACCCTTCGCAGTCCGGGTCAGTAAGCAGCCCTTGCTGGCACACAGCTGGTGCACCACGTACTGATGAGCCCTCGGATCCACGTGATGTTTCCACTGTGATTATCTTTGTGTTGCAGACGAACCTGGTGAAACTCCTCTTGATCCATCAGGCAAACCCAAAGCTTATGAACTGTAACGAAGAGAAGCCATCAGGTAGGTGAGGGCCGTGCTGGGAGTCCTGAGCAGATCCCGTCTCTTCCTTTGGATGGGAGCGGATGGTCCATCATTAGCACAGCGAAGAAACGCGGGTTTCCTGCGGAGCTGTGTAAAGGCGGATTTGCCTCCTAACTCCTGTGTGCTGGGGCAGGGCCCTCAGGAAGCGTAATGCTGGGGACCACCGCGCTGCACCCTTCCTTTTGCCCATCCTGCTGCACTTACAAATACTGATTCATTCAGTGCACTCATCTGAAACACACCTGTCCTGTTACCTAACTGGTTTCTCACTGTCACAAATATGTGCTTATTCCTTAGGGTACTTTTTCAGCACCAGTAGTATTTTTCTTTTTGGCACAGGTATTTAGATTATAGGAAATAGAGACTAATATTCCCACGGTAATTTAGAACTTTGTAGTCTGGGCTTAAGGTTACTTATTCTCTAAAAAACATTTTTGAAGATCTCTATAATTGTCACTACCTTTTTATGCATTCATTTGCTTAATAAATAGATACACGTTGGTTTTGTAGTGTTAAAGTTTAATAACAAAATGTCTCATAGTTAATTCCACAATATTAAAAGCAGAATTTAAAATAGACTCTAGCATGAGTAACACAAGAATATAAAAAAGTTCAAAGGTAGCATTGATCTGCATAACTGAATAAATCTATTTATTGATCTTGTTGCTGGGCCTCTACCAACTTAAAAGCCCTTACTTACTCTGTGGAGTTTTCATTTGATTAGGAGTAAAATTATTGCATAAATCTCTAGTTCAAGCCAAAGCAAAGGAATTTGCTCTGTTTTTTATTTTATGGGCATTAAATGTGATTGTTGAGTGTTTATTTAACTTCTCTGCTAAAGTGAACTGAATAACAAAAAGAACTATAATAGCTAAGAAGTCGCAAACTTTAGATTCAGTTGAATACTAGCACTAACCTGGTTAGGGTGACATTGACTACTTGACACTGACTAACTCTATCTAATGGCAAATATTAAAAAGGTGAAAGACTGTTGTAGCTTTTTAAAAAATCTTTTCAAAGATTTAAAAAAATCTTTCTCTTTTAATGTACTTATTGGCACTCCGTGGCATCCTCTCTAAGTCTAGTTCCATCAGGGCCCATGTTATGAACTTCCTGTCCTGGATTCTTTCTAGGCAAGTGAAGAGGTGACTGACCTGGACCACAGGGACTCCCACCCTCTTGATTTCTTCCTCTGAGCCACTATCAAGTGTTCCATTGCCAATACTCAATGGCAGTTGACCCTCTCAGGGGTCCAGGGAGTGAACAGACTTCTGCAGTAGCTCAGCCCACAGCAGGAGGACGCTCTCACATGGCTTTCGCCAACCTGGTCCTGCAAGTGGACACCAGCCCAGGGCCCTCTCATGCCATCCAGACACACAGTACTGGGGCCATTATGGACCCTCAGGACATATTCGCTAATAAGATATTTCCCTCATGCACAAGGAGCAAAGAACTGTGATGCAGTGAGAGATTCCAGATAAATACAGGAACTCTGAGCATCTAACCAGTGCTCAAGAAGAACAGACCAGGAGAAAGTAGCGCAGAAAATAGTGAACCGGCACCCATATGCCAGCTGAGCAAGTGAGAATCACCATCACTGCTGTGTTATACTCTCATCTTTTTGTGGCTCTTGAATTTTCATATTTTGGGGAAAGAGTGGTTGGAGATGTAACTTTTGGGTGGGCTAGAAGCTTAGTCTCCCAACATGAGGAAGTGAGCTCCCTTCCCTGTTCACATGTGTGGTACCTAACCAGAGGCAAATGAAGACCACATCCTGCTTAAATATCATCCTGCAGCAGTGAAATTACTTGCACCATGCCATAAAGCTGTGAGACTCAGCGGTGCACAGAGACGGTCATGGGAGTTGGTGGCCGCCTCCGTCGCGGGTGTGCCAGTCACGAGAATCACCCACCAGATTGTATAAGTCTGTTGGTGTTAGATTTGCTAACCGGCTTCAGTGTTAGATCGCTAACCAGATTTGCTAAGTACCAGTGTTTGGTGCATGCCTGTATTGCTGCCCAAATACAGATAATAATTTCCATCTCAGCATCTGATGTCTTTAAGCTGGAGGAAATATCCTTTTATAGGAGGAATCTTACACAACAAGAAATATTAGTTTTATATAGAAGAAAAAATGTGTATTTGTACTCCCTACTTCAGGAAAGCCAGTCGTTAATAATGGGCTAAATAAGTATTTGATACATATCTGTATTGCTGCCCAATGACGCCTGAACCTGGACCACCCTGAACGTGGACACTGTGGTCCGGATTCAGGCATCACTGTCTAGCTGTCGCTTTTTTGTTTTTGTACCGGGAATCTAACTCAGGACCTTGCGCTTGCCAGGCAGATGCTTGTGCTGCTGAGCTATATCCCCGGCCCTTAGGTGTCATTTTTAAGGAAATATATTAGTTGATGTTTCCAGTGGAACAAAAAAGGTCATGGAAAGAGGCCGGAGCCACTGTGTTGATAGCAGAACTGAGTATTTGCACATTCATCACTTGGTGGACTGTGGAGAGAGTGCTTACTGGGTGGGTGGGTGTTTTATCGTATCCCAGTCTTGGGAACACAATGATGAGAGAATCAAAATATATGGTGAATGTTTCATTTTTTTAAAGGACTATGACAGTAAAACACACACTGCCATGAATCCCCTGAAGATCCCCCCACCTCACTTTAAACACACTCATTCCATCATTCTTGCTACTTTCTCAAGCATCTCTGGAATCTTCTTTCCTGGGTGTTTCACCGGGTATGATCACAAAGATGGTGAATGTTACTGCCAAGTGCCATTTAACAGAAAGACGGGTCTGTAAAAGCGTGGAAGTAGCCTCCTCATGCACCTTATTTCCCAGATCTGGCACCAGGTGATTTCTGGCTCTTCCCAAAGTCAAACTGACCACAAAAGGAAAGTGTTCTGAATCCATTCAGGACATTGAGGCAGCCAGGGCAGTGCAACCAAAGACCCTCAGGAAAGAGGACTCCAGAGCTGCTGCAGGAAGTGGCAAGGATGACGGGATAAATGTACTTGATGCAAGGAGGAATAACTTGAGGGGAATTTATCACAGTGCATCTTTTATTGTAATGCATTTTTAATTTAAACATTCACTGTTCTTTATGACCCTGCCTTGTGTTGTCCTTATTTTGATCCACAGTCAGCAAGGCACAAGAAGAGTTGTAGTGGGAATGAAACGATATTCAGTTCTTTGAAGCTAATCGTCACCATGATTTTCCATTTTATGCATCACCATCCAGTGAATATTATCTTTACATTTTTTCATTTGTAATTAAATGTTACTGATGTAAGACAAGATAGTCTTTTAAAATGGCAATATTACAATTTTACCCACACCATAACCTTTTAATGTGCTTTAATTTGCTTCATGTCTGATAAATCTAATCATCTTAAGCATATCTGGAGTACTGAAAGTACAGAGTGCTCTGGGCTTTTGCCCCCGCATAGTCTGACTTTCTTGTTGTTTCCTATAGACATCGCTGCCTCTGACTTTATTGAGGACATGCTGCTGAAAGCCGAAGCTGCATGGGAAGAGAAGATGAAAGAGCCTTTATCTCCTCCCTCCTTAGCCCAAGAGGAGCCGTATGAAGAGATCATACATGAGCTTCCAGCACCTCCCAGCAAGCTGTGAGTGTCACCTTCCTCCTGTGTAGGCTTCTCCTGGGGAGCTAGTCATGCTCCTACGTGTCCTACCAGTCATTTCACAGCCCACAGCAAACCTCTCAGCCAAGAGTAGAAAAGGTGAAAGTGGTTATCAGTGTGTTCACCAAAAGTGGTTGTTGGTAGTGATGAGCTTCACATAACTTAGGAAAGTCTTTCTAAAACCCTTCTATTTCAGTTATCTGCTCAACTTCAGATGCATGGCCCTCGAGGCAGTATTTGAAACCTTCCTTCAGACTTTAGCTAAACTGACTGAGGTTTCCAGAGCCTATTATTAACGACTGGCCTTCCTAAAGTAGGGAGCACAAATACACACTTTTTTCTTTTGTATAAACTAATAATTTCTTGTTGTCTAAAGTATCTCCTATAAAAGGATATTTCCTCTGGCTTAAAGACATCAAATGCTGAGATGGAAATTGTTATTTTGTTGAAGGTCTGAAAAAGGTGTACACACTGGCTGAGGGTGACCTCGATAACTCACATCCTAACATGGAATTCACTGGGGAGTGTTCATTAAAGCCGTAAAACGGTGAACAGGTTCTCTTCCAAAGCTCCTCATTACCATTATAGGTGTGTGTGTGTGTGTGTGTGTGTGTGTGTGTGTGTGTGCATGCTGTGGATATATACATGCATGTGTAATGCACATAACTTTGTATGTCACATACATACACACACGTGAAAGGACAAAAACACACAGATCTTAGGAGCAGATAGTAGACTGGCGCTTGCCAGGACCTGTGAGGGGCTATGGGCCATGACTTCTCATGCATAAGGGCTGCTTTGGGGGGGTGATAGAAATGTCTTGGAAGAAGACAGTTGTGGTGGTAGCGCCAATGTTTGAATGTGCTAAAACCCACTAGCCTGAAGATGTGGAAGGTGTGAATTTTGTATCTCCATAGAGGAAATCAATACACTGAAAACACATTTCAGGTCAAAGTTCAGTCTGCTGCTGTATAGTCCAACAGTGGGACCATGAGGCACGATCTTATCTCTCTGAGCCCATTTCTCGTCTGCCAAGGAAGATTACATCTAATGCCTTGGAGTATTTGAGGATGACAGATAAATAGGCCACCTAGGTTTTCAGCAACCTGAGAAATAATTGACTGTAAGGACAGAGACCAAAACCCACCCGATTTCCAGGGGGACGCATTGGAGACTGAGCTGACAGTGTGGCCACAAGGCCGGGCACATTTGTGCCATTAGGAGACCGACTGCTGGCTGCATCCTCTACATCAGCCCTACAGACAGGCTCCTGCCTGAGGGGCTCGCCTACACGGCTAGAGCAGAAAGAAGAGAAGAAAGAACCACAGATGCACGCTCACATTATTTCACCAGAGAGGCTCTTCACTTCCCAAAAAGTAGAAGAGAAGCATTTGATGAAAACATCACAAGGCTCTGATGAGGAACATACGAACTCAGGGCAAAGTCTTACTCCAGATCCTGCCATATCATGAGAATTTTGAAGCACCTTTAATTTAAAACTGCTCTAGGTAAGTCACAGTCTAAAAGAGTACAGAACGGTGAGGTGTGATCCAAACACACAACAAATGATTAGATTTTCTGAAAACTTATTACATTAGAAGGCACATTGTCACGAATCCCCCTGAATGTCCCCCCACACACACACTTGGAACACACTTGCCCCGTGGTTCTTGCTGCTTCCTGCAGTGGCTCGGGGGTCCTCTTTTATGAGTGTCTTTGGTTGTGCTGTCTTGGCTGCTTTGATGTCCTGAAGAAATTCAAAATATTTCCCTTTTGGGGTCATTTTGACTTTGAGGAGGAGCCAGAAGTCACACAGTGCCAGATCCAGGGAATAAGGTGGATGAGAATGCACTGTGGTATTTCTATTTGACAGAAATTGCCATAAAACTTTTGAATCAATTGAGGACATCGAGTCAGCTACAAAAGCACAAGTAAAGATCCTTAGGACAGAGGACTCCACAGCTGCTTCAGAAAGGGGTAAAAATGATGGAATGAGTGTGTTTGAAGCCAAGGAGGCAGGGTTTGAGAAGAACTTATGGCAATTTGCGTTTTACTGTAATAAATTTTAAAAATTTTAATTTAAATGTTCACCAAATTTTAAATCAAACAGCATATATGAACCTCTGCTAATATTAAAATATATTTATTCTTGAATTTAATTGTGGGATAAAGGTGCTTGATTTTTATATCAGACTCTATGCAGAGGATTTTCAGTCTGTCATACAGTATCTTCGGAGCCCTATTGGGGTTGTAACATTTCCTTAAGAGCCCAGGGTGCGGCAAAGACAGTTCAGTTTGGGTCCTGCCAGTCAGATCACAGATCCGTGACTGAAACGCCACGTTTCCCTTCTCCTGTGTTCACAGGTGGGGAAATGGTGTTATGTTTTGGGAAAGAGAAAAAGACCGTGAATATAACACTCGGTATCAAGGCAGGAAGGGGTTATTTGGTAAAATATATTAGGAGTTGAAATTACAGATCATAATATGATTCAGCAACTTACATTATTACATTGGTATTTTACTGAAAAAGGGGGTAGTGATCCAAATATTGTACATGGAAGAATTTTATATTCCAAATTAGATAGAAAAATCAATACTTAATATAGTGTGCTCTAGTTGCAATTACAGGCCTCCAAGTAAAGAGATATTAAAATGTAAACAAAAGTAAAGTCTCAGTTAATACCAAGTTATGTTGGATATATACTAGTCTTTATAAGTGTCTATAGTTCTGTTTTTGGTTCCTAATTTATTTAAAAATAAAACAGACAACCAATCTCCCCATACTTTTCATTCTGTTCTTTCTTATATTACTGAGTGAATAGTAGATTAATCATGATATAAACAGATTAATCAATCACTTACTTGTTCTACACAATTAAGTACATGGTTTAATTACATTATTTTCTTTTGCATCTCTGATCAAACTTAGACAATTTGAACTGTATTGAAGAGTGGCTTGCTTTTCTGTGTAGTTAACTGTTACCTTTCTTCGGAGTAGAATTAACAGGGAAGTCAAAAACAACTCAAGAATAATTATACGTTTCATTTAACTTTGTGATAGACTGGCAAGCAGACTTGGTTGTACCTAAATACTTTTGAAACTTTTCTAATTCTTGAATGTGAAACATTTTATCTTACTATTTTTACTGTCATTAGAGTATAATAAGAAAATACAAATCAGGAAAACCCTATGAGGCAAAAGATAACTAAGAAAAGTTTATGGTTTAGTGCAAAAACTTAAATTTCTGTACTGTGCTTGGTCAGACCTTGTTCTTGTCTGAGAAGCAGAAATATGAATGTTCAAGCATTAGGAAAGACAAAACTCTTTTGTAGCTAAAAAAATACATGCATTCTTGGCAAAAATGGTGCTTGCTGACTTGATGTATTTCATATTACAATGTTTGATTTGGAGATGTTGAGAAATTTTTTTCTGTGTGAAGTAAATCAGCATAATTACAGGAAATATGAAATTATTTCTTTGGACAATCTCTTATACATCATTCAAACAGCAGCATTTCTCCCAGCTCCAGTTATTTGATCTGTCACTCACTGGGCATGGTGTGCAGGGAGAAGACTGTCTCTCTTTCCTTTAGCGTCGCTTCAGTTTGCTGGAAACACCTCCCTCCCATCTGTTGTCTGTGGTGAAGTGAGCAAAGGCTTCTGTGTGGCAGTTCAAGTGTCACTGGTTTGAGCCAAGTGCATTCTTGACTGCTTTGATTGCTGGAATTTTAAATAAGTAACTGGCCCACCAGCTGCTTGTAGAAATCCCTCAGGTTTAGTAAGGTGCAGGAGAAACCGTGAAGCAATCAAAGAAGAAGCTGAAAAGCACACAGAGATTGAAATAACAGTGTCTTCCTGTATTCTAGTCAGGTGCAAGCATTCCGCTGCAGATAATCTGCTCCTTAAATTTTATTATTTTACCCATAAAGATGGTGCATATTCATCAATATGAGAAGCATAATTGGAAAGATATTTTAAAGTATTCCACAAGACCTCCTGCAAGGTAGGAGTTTTGCATTTACAGTCGCTGGATCCTCAGACATAGAAATTTATCAGCACCTTAATGGGCCTATTATTTTCTAAGAAAGTTGAAATTCTTGCTGTTTCATGTACGGTCCATGAGCCAGCACCATTTTCTCTGCCTGGGAACAGGCAAGGGATGAGTGCCCTCAAAGTACCACTGAGTTCCCGTAAAGTGTCAGATGTTGCATTTGTCGGCTTTCCGATCGTGGGAACAGAACACTCCCCAAAGCCACAGCTTGAACATGAAGAGGTTTATTTGCTTCTGTGTTAGGGGTTCAGTCCATGGCCAACTGGCTTCAAGGCAGTCATCATGTACAAGGGTGTAGTGGAGCAAAGATGCTCAGTTCGTGGTGGCCAGGAAGCAGAGCATAGGAGCAGTGCCAGAGGGGACGGGGCCAGGGCCAGATACAGTCCCCGAGGTCCCACCGCTGTAACACACCAAGACACACCCCAAAGTGTGCTTCAGTAATCTGCTGGTGTTTCTTAAACAAGCTGACCTACGCAATTGCCAGTCATAATCCACCCCTTGTCAACTTGCCACCAAAATACATCTTCTTAAACCATGCTTCATCTTCAAATAAAATGCTGTTTCTTCCTAATGTGGTACAACTATTCCTCATACACCCAAACATAGTAACCCCTTCCCCAAAGTTTTCACAGTCCCAGCAAGTCCGGGTCAGAATCTCCCTTGAGTCTCAAGGCAGACTTTTAGCTGTAATCACCTCTAACAAGATGTTTAGAAAAGTCACATAATCCTGAGGTACAGTGGCACAAGGTGAATTTTCCCAGTCCAAAAAACAGAAATAGAGGGTTAGAAAAAGAATATGACCAAAGCAAGACTGACCCCAGCAGGGCCAACATTTAGCCTGTAGTTCCATATCCAGCATCTGGAGCACGGGGTGAGAGGTGAGTTCCAGTGTGCAGGGGCGTCCTCACCCCTCTGTCTTGCTCCTCGCACCCCA